TATTAGTTGCCCCGGAGTCATTATGACTCCTAAGGACCCAGTAAACAACAGATCTGAACCATGTCTTGTCCTGTGCCATCCTCATCGTCTGTCATACTTGACCCCACCGCTGCATCACCGTGTCAGTCCATCTCATTGAGGGTCTTCCTCTCTTTTGCTGACTCTCCACCTTACCAAGCATGAGGTCCTGCACCAAGGAATAGACTCCCTTAACAACATGTCCAGATTACATGAGATGAAGCTTTGTCCTCTTTGCCCCCAGTAACCACTCTGGCTGCACTTTCTCCAAGACAGATCTGTATGTTCTTTTAGTTTGTGAGATACTCAGTACTCTTCTCCCACACCACAGCTCAAAGGCTGCAATGCTTCTGTCATCTTTACTCATTTTCTAGCTCTCAGATGTATAACAAATTATGGAAAGACCATGGCCTGAATCAGACATACCTTAGTCTTCAAGCTGATATCATTGCTCCTCAGTAACTTGGATAAAATTGAGTAGGTAGATGAGTAAAATCTTTAGTTTTTGTAGTAGTTCTAATAATAGCTAACGTTGGTGGGGAAGGCAGTTGTGGTTCAGTAGAGGAATTCCCACATTTCATGTGGAAGTCCTGGGTTCAGTTCCTGTCCAGGACACATCCAATACCCATCCGTCATTAGGAGTTCATGTGTTGTTATGAAACTGAATAGATTTTAGTGGAGCTTCTCGACTAAGAACAAAGGCGTGATGCTCAACTCCCGTAACTCAGCTACTGTAAACCGGACGTTCTGACCCATAACCACCATGGGGAAGGCAGGGAACAGGCAGGATCCATGCCCCTGTACATGAGGCTGCCGAATGCAAGGCTGACTTGAGGTCAGCTGTTGTTGTTAGGTGTCATTGACCTCAGTATGACTCACACTACGAACAACAGCCCTTAACACTGTCCTATCCTGTGCCATCCTCATAATCTCTTGCACACTCAAGCCCATTGCTGAAGTCGATGTTTTAATCCATCTCATTGAGGGTCTTCCTCTCCCTTGCTGTCCCTCCATCCTTCCAAGCATGATGTCCTTTTCCAAGGAATAGGCTCTCCCACCAACACATCCAAAGTAGAGATTAAGTTTTATCACCTTTCCTCCAAGGAACACTCTGGCCACACCTTCTCCAAGAACTTTTTGTTCTTTTGACAATCCTTGGGATATTCAGTACTCTTCTCCAACACCATAACGCAAAGTCATCAGTTATTCTTCTGTCATTGTCCAGCTCTCAGATGCATAGCCAGTGATTGAAAAGGCCATGTCCTCAATCAGGCATACCTTAGTCTTCAAACTGACATCAGCTTTTTATAAAGGCTTACTACACGCACCAGGGTCAGCCTGTGCGCATTACATGCATTCAGTACTTCACTCAGACCTCACAATCCTCTGAGGCAAGATGCCATTGTCACTTCATAATTCACTTGAGGAAATGAAAAGTACATAGTTTAAGCAACTGGTCTAAAGTGCTCAGGTAGGGTTTCAACTCAGGCAATTGGATTTTAAAGCCTGCAGGCGTGCTGCAGATCCAGTGAGTTGTCATTGGGGCAGGAGGGAGATGACATGGTGGCCTGCAGGGCGCTGGGATGGGCAATCATGGGGGAGTTTTAATCGACTGACAAGGCTTTTGGGGAGCACAATATCTGGAGGTCAGTCAGAAGATGGTTTGACAGTCATTGGACCAGGAGTGAGATGGCTGCATCTGGTTACCATTTGAAAGATGAGTTGACAGGTCTTACTGGAGGAGCTCTGATGCAATCCTAAAGGTTTGCGGTTCAAATCTCCCAGCTGCTCCATGGAAGAAGGATGGACAATCTCCTCCTTTGGGATTTACTCCCTCTGAAAACCTGCTGGAGGGTCAGCTATGAGTTGCTCCCTGACTTGACAGCATATAACAACAACTAGAGGACTGAAATCCACAAGTGGTGAAAACAGTTATAGTTCTCAGCCATTAATGAAAAGGTTGGAGGTTTGAATCCACCCAGAAGCACTTGGGAAGAAAAGCCTGGGAATCCGCTTCCAAAAATCAGCTACTGGGGAAAACAGACAAACGCTTGGAGCACAGTTCAGCTCAGACACAGGGATGCTGAGTTGGAAGTAACTTGCTGGCAGCTGGGACTGATGCTGGAGGATTGGGCCCAGGGTGGGGGAGAGCCAGAAAGAGAGTCCCCCCACTGCTGCGTGGGCCTTGTCCAAATCTGCCGCCTGCCATCCTGGTTCTTATTTGTCTTGATGGCTCTTGGGCCATAGACACTGTGTCTCCAGTTCCCACTGCGCAGACAATTCCATGGGAGAAAATACAGGACTGGCGGGCTGAAGGTAGGAAAAGGTGGGAGCTGGCAGGGGCATGTGCTAGCACTAGGCACCGTAAGTGCTGCTCCGTCCTCTCTACATGCTACAAAGTCATCTTCTCACAGCTCACTGTCCCCCAAGCCTGTGTGACTGGTTTCACAAAGCCCACCCCTCCCTGGTCCCTGTCCTTGTTAATGACCTCCGTTCTCCTAGTCAGGCCAAATCCTGATCACAATCACACTCCCTCTGCTCACCAAGCAGCTAAGTCCAAAGTCCGGCCTCTTCCCTCTGAGTCACCTGATTTCAGGTTACCCTGAGTCACCTTCACAGGCTCTTCCCCACCCCCATCCAAAGCCCTACCTTGTCTGTTCTCCACACCAGTTGGATACAGAGCCCAGTTCTATCAAATATTTTAGTGTAAACTAAACCATCAGCAGCTGTGGAGTCCACTGAGATGCCCTCCTGACATTTCCCTGGGGAGGGGAGGCAAGCACCAGCCCTTAGTGTGCTGAGAAGACAGTATCCCTCCCACACATCAAGTGTGACCTTTCCAACATGCACACCACTGTGGGTGGCGGAGCTTTCTTGATGCACCAGAGTCCCCAGGCCACGCCTTGATGTGTTGGGCTGCCAGGGGACAGACACACCATGTTTTCCTGCAGACAGTCTCCTTTCCAAAGCTGGTCACAGAGAAGCCTGACACAGAGCTGTTGTTATTGTTGTCGTTGTGAGAAGCCATGAAGTTGCTTCCAACTCCTCATGACTCTGGATAACAAAACTCTGCACTGCCCGGCCCTGCACCTTCACACTGGTCACCATGCCTGAGCCCATTGTTGGAGGGGCTTCCACTTTTTCACTGACTCTTAACACAGCATGCTGCTGAGCTAATAAATGCACTGTCGTTGAGTTGATTCCAAGCTGCTCCCTTGGATTTCTAAGGCTGTGACTCAGGAAAACAGACTGCTGCATCTTCCACCTGTGGAGTGACTGGTGGGTTTGAACAGCTGACTTTTTGGTTGGCGGCCCACCACTTCACCCATTGTGCCACCAGGGCTCCCTCTGTTGGGCAGAAAGCACAGAGAAATGCAAGAGTCAGAAGAGTTGCGTCCCCACTTTTTAGCCTCTGTTCCTGTTTTCGAGTCACTTTACACAAATCATTCCATCGATTATGTAACCATCTGTGGCTCAGACACAGGCAGGCAGCAGACATTCCCCTTCACGTTGGAGCCAAGGTCGCTGCAGTTAAGTCACAGCACAGCGCCGTCCCCTCCAAGACCTTGAAGCTTGGCCGGGTCATGTAAATGGAGTGCTGGCTTACAGGGGCCTAGAGAAAGATTTGTTACGCTTTATTTATCAGTTTTCTAGAATAAATATTTATTTGAGAATAAGAAAGAAATCTGGAAGAATACACCTTTATTCTCTGCTTCTTAAAATCCTTCCACAAAGGTTGAACCTATTTGCTCTGGAAGACAGCAATTCTTCAAAACTTGTTCGTTGAACAGGCTGTGTCCATTTGACAAACCACCAAGCTTTTAAGATATGTGCCCTCTCCTTAGAGGTAAAGATGACTGCCATTTCCAAGACCCTCACAATCTACCACACAATAACCCAGAGTGGGTCCTGGACAGTGCCCAGCCAGGGCCTTCTGTGTCAGCCTGTCCTCTGGCCTCAGGCAGGAGGGAGCTGGGGTTGCAGGGCCGGGGCCTGTGTGTTGATGACTGCCCGGATGTGGTGCACCGGCTGACAGCGGGGCTCTGGCAACTGTGTGGTACTTTGGTTTTTGACAAAGGGTGATAGGGCCTCGTTTAGGTCTAACTACGGACATCCATACTTCCTTCAGTGGGTCCATTAGAGAAGGGGATTCTTTGAAAAGCTGTTCAGCTGCCACTTTTGGGGACCTCTTTGAGACCCTGGGCCACTCTTGAAATGAGAATTTCTGTTGAAGAATAAAAACCAATTCCGTTAGAGACAATGAGCCCCATCTTCTGGCCACAGGAGACAGACTGGATGAACACTCTGCAGTGGGAGTTACACAGAAAACTTTCCTTGAACAAACTGAAGCCATGATATTTGCCCTTTTCTCTAGACTAGGGGTTGGCTAAAGCTTGGGCCAGCATCTGGGTTTGTATGGCAGGATGGGGGGAGGGGACAAATTGAAATAAAGGTATTTTCTAGCAATGAAAATGGAAAGGAAATTCAGATTTGAATGCTCATAGAGTTTTATTTTTATTAATGTTTACTTTGTTGGGAGAGTATGTCGGTTTGCTCAGCCACTTTGTCCACTGCAGAGCAGTTGGGTTGTTTCTCTTTGTTATTATAAACAGACTGCAATTAACATGGATGTAGACAACTTTGTGTTACAGCCTTTATTTCCTTAAAGTATATACCTAGTATTGGGAATGCTGGACCTTTATTTCAATTTTTACTTAACACATCATATTTATCATTTCCAAAGTTTATTATTCTATAATTAATTATATTTTTAAATTATTCATGCACATAAAATTTTATTGAACACAACCACATTCATTTCAGTTTTGTCTAAGGCAGCTTTTGTGCTCCATTGAGCAGCTGGAACAGAGATCACATGGTGACAACGTCTAAAATACTTACCTGGGTGATAAGGGATGTCTTGCACACGTTTGCTGGACTTCACATACATTCCTTTGTTTCTTTTCTCATCCGTAGCTTCTCTTGCCAGAATGACCCAGGTCTTCGTCTATGGGACTCTCAAGAGAGGACAGCCCAACCACCAGGTCATGCTGGACCGTGCCAATGGCACTGCGACCTTCCAGGGCCGGGGCCACACGGTGGAGCCCTACCCTCTGGTGATTGCCGGCGAGCACAACATCCCGCGTCTGCTGAACCTCCCAGGGAGGGGACACTGTGTGGCCGGAGAGATCTATGCCGTCGATGAGCAGATGCTGCGGTTCCTCGATGAGTTTGAATGCTGCCCTGACATGTACCAGCGCACACAGGTGAAGGTTGAGGTCCTCGAGTGGGAAGGTGACAGCAGCAGCCTTGAGGAGATGCCAGGTGCTCGCCGGACCCTGCAGTGCTTCGTGTACAGCACAGACACCTACGCGCCGGAGTGGGTCCACCTCCCATACCTCGACAGTTACGACTCTCAGGGGAACCACGGGCTTCGCTACAACCCACGCGAGAACAGGTGACAACGGAAAGAACACTCTCATCCCTCCGAGGGTCCAGGCAGCCCTGGTGATTGTGGGATTACCTCATCTTAATCTGTGCTCAGTGAATCAAAGCATAATGATGCCCTTTTAAACAAACATTTGTCAAACTCGGTCTGGTGGAGGGAAAATAATCTCTTTCCATGAAAGCCTGTTTTACAAATAATTCTGACATCCTAATAACCAGATCCTACACTTTAATCTCTCTATCAGATACTGCTGTATTGCTAGCTGTTTAAAACACATTGTGGACTTGAATTATTGATTAAGAAAAATTTAGGATTTAATTCCTTTAAATGATGACATTTAAACAGAACTCAGATGCTAATATACTTTTAGGAAGGGGGATGGAGAGCTTTGCTTTAATTTATTAAAATTTTTAAATTAACATAAAGACTTTGTGTTGCAGCTAGATTTTAGCAGCCCTACTGTATTGATCCAACCTGCAGCACCTAGATGTTTTGTTCTGTTAAACAAAAGCTGACTGTGGATGGATCGATGTCAAAATTGCTCAAGGAAAAGAAGCTATACCTCAGAGAACACACAGGCTTAAGTTTCCTCACTTTCATGTTGTACTAACACACACCCTATTGAAAAGTATTACTAAACCTATTGAAAATTATTACTGAAATGAAACAGAAAAGGCTTGGGGACATATAAAAGTGTTCCTGCTATTTGGCTTTTTGGGACACCCTGCTTGGAAGAAGGCTCTGTTCGTGCCAGTCGAGCAGAATCATGGACACACACTTGCTAGTAGATGCAGCTGAGAGCGCAACTTTCCAGGGAAAGTGTCCCCAGCCCCGCACTGGGATCCAAGGCCCCACCGCTGGCTCTGGAGGCTACAGTGCTGGGCTGGGCCTTTCAGAGAAGAGCCAGCGCATTAGTAATTTGTTCTTCAGGCCTGACAGAAAGCTTAGCTTCCAAATACAAACAGCACTTAAAATAATTTTAGCAAGGCACGAAGTACCAATTACTACCCACCTCCATCTGATATTTTGTCAGCGGAGATTCAAATCGGTGCACGATTCTTTGCCTCTGCTCACCAGCAAAGTATGAAATGTATTCCAAGAATTTTAGGATCAAATGAAAATGCAGCTGCTGGTCCTCAGTAACCTCGTTCTCTGCTGGGAAAATCTCACTCACTCTTCAACTTAATGGTAGACTGTGATCACTAACTGCATCTGGCACAAATACATGATCATTATTTTTAGCCTGTTTTTCTTAATTGGGAACTTGCTTCACAAAAACAAAAAAAAATGGGGATCAGCTGATGATGATGAGCTGGTGGTAGGTACACTCACGGGGTGGGGCGTGAGGGAGCTCCCTGTCACCCTGGCCTGGTGGGAGGGATGCGTGCTCCAGCCTCCCTGGGAGGGGCTCTGTTCACAGTCTCCCGAAGGTGACGTGCCCAAGGAGCCCAGTGAGAGCCAAGGCTGGTGCTGCTGTTGTGTGACGTGTGCCAATTCTGACTCCCCGCGACCCTGTGACAGAGGAAAGCAGCTCCGGAGGGTTTCCCAATCTGTAATCTATGGGGGCAGATCACTGAGGAGCGGCTGGTGGGTTCACACCACTGACCTTTAGCTTAACACTTCACTGTTTCACCAACGTGGCTTCTTTAGATCTGAGGCTTCTGTCATTTAGAGCCATAGCATCAAGGGGGAATTTCAAGATAATCAGCTCGCTGTATGGTCTTTAGGAAGTTAGCAGTAGTCAGAGACAAGGGTTAGGTCTCTAGGATGGCTGAGGTAAGGTAATTAGATCATAAGATGGCAAATGGTACTTTAAAAAAATTGGAGGCAGAAGACTAGAAGTTGGTATAATTTTAAAAAGGGATCACAATGGAACACTGGTATTTAAAGTCTACTGGCAGGGACTGGATCTCCCTGTGTACATTGTCTTCATTCAAAAAAAGGGCAAACTAATATTTAGACAAATGCTCAGTTTTATTGATTTAATTTTGACACTAGGAAATCTCACAGCAGAAGTACAAATCATATGTACAAGTATTTATATCAATAAAAATTTTCATTGGTGATTTTTTGGCAGAATGCTGGTTTTGACTATATGTGGAATAAATATGACCATGTAAAATCTGCTGCACAGGAGTGTTCCTGTAAAATGCCTGAATAAATTGAGTGTGAAAGAGTAATAATAAAAATGGCTAATTAAATTGGGTGATGACTGAAAAGCTATAAATACTTCATTCCAATTCCACGAGCAGATCTCCTTCTCCAACTGTGTCTCCAGTTTTGCAGTGCACAGATTTCACCTTGAATTTAAAAAAAAAAAGGAAAGAGCAAACATTATTAAGGAGAAGCTGGCGGTAGGTAGTCTCTCAAACTGTACCTGAAAATGAAGTGACGGCTCGATCAGACTTGGGGCACAGGGACGGTTTACCTAGGGCCCTCCTCTGCACTCGGCCTCGCCACCCTCCACTTTCAAGTCCCCTCTGTCCACAACAGTCTGAGGTCTTGGTCCTGGAAAAGTGCTCACTGCAGTGCCTTCTCTGGAATCATGCACAAATTGTGGTTTTCCAAGCAGCATCTTAAAAGCCTCAATCATTCACATCCACTGAATTTTAAACACCTGGCCTGCCTAAACTTAAGGTTTAGGTTATAGAAGTTCCCCGTGAAAGTTAACAATATAATCAATTTAGTTTGGGTTGGTTTGTTGTTTTTTGGGTTTTGTTTGTTTGTTTGTTATTGTTTGTTTTTTTTTTAAAAAAGGACAAAATTAAGCAATACTTAAAGCAGGTACTAAGTGAAAGGGGAAACCCCCTGAGAGGCCCAGAGACTTCTTTTGAAGGAAGCACAGCATGGAGATTAGTGGAGGCCGGACCTGTGTCTGTGGACAACATGCCGCGTGTACTGTGGAGCTGGCATCAGGAAAGGCTCTAACTGCGCCTTTTCTTTCTACCGATGTCTCTCTTGAATTTGTGTTCAAAGATCTCACTTCAGCAAGGAGAAGTCGGGAAGAGACAGTCAATTTGACTTCTTGGAAGGTCTTGTGTGGGCATGAAAATGAATAATGGCTTAGCACTAATTGGCTTTATGGGCAACTGGGAAACACAAAAACGCCTGCAATGTCATTGAGTTTGGTATACTCGCCAGTGTTCCTGCCACTTATTGTGTGCAGATGACAAGGGCCTTTTTCTGTTAAATGCAAGCCCCGGGTTTCTAAGAATGACGTGAACCTATGCAGTGAACACTTCAAAGGCCTCATCTAGCAGATGCTATCTGGACTGAAGTGGCTGCTTTTATAATCTGGATGCCTCCGATGTTTGTATATGATGTATTTTTAATGATGCTGCAATTACTAGTTCAGAGGATCTGTTTTCATTGTGAACCTTTCTCTGAGAGGAAAGATGAGGCCCCCACATCAGAGCCCATCCCCAGGCTCGGCCAGGGCCTGCCCCTCTGGGCTGGACCTTCTGACTGCTGCTGCATCCCGGTGGGCTGGAATCAAGAGGCGTGGGAATGATGAGATGGCAGGCCGACTAGCTGAGCGAAGTCCCCGTAATGCCCCTGGAGAAGTAGCTCAGGGCTGCTGGTGGGAGGATGAAGCACAGGCTCTATCCTGAGCCCCAGCCCTGATGAAGGACACAGACAGATGGCGCGAGGCCTGCATTCAGAACTAGGACCACTACCCCTTCACCCAACAACACAGGGGCCCTTGTCATCACTTGACACTTATTCTAGTTGCTAAAATGTTGACTCATCATGGACTGAAATTCCATCATTTGACACTATGAGTCATAGACAACTTGACAGCATCTAACAGCAACAACAACAATAAAGTGTAACAGCAATGTTAAATAATCCCAGTGGACAGAGACAAAAATGTTTATACTAACATAAACCAACATTTTTCCTTGTTCACTTTTTAAAAAATAATTGCATTTAGAAATTAGGATTTCTAAAAATCTGCAAAGCACAACTATCACTTGACTTCCCCCAGTTCCCATGGTGGACACAGCCTCCTGTGCCCCTCCCATGTCAAGTCACCCTGCTCTGGGTCCACCAGCCAGCCCAGGGCCTCTGCTTTTTCCAGGCCTGCCTGGGTGTCCCCGTTGGCCTGCTCTCTCAATAGTCTATTTCATTCTCTTCTGAGGTGAGAGATCACAGCATAGAGGTCATAGCTCTAGTTGTAAACATTCTGGTGTCTGATAGTGTCCCCTCCATCACAATGCCCAATGTCCTTGTGGCTCTGTTTTACTTCCCAGAAGAACAGGGCATAGCTTTCACTGTTGTCACCTACCATCATCCTCCCAAACCCAAACATCCTTCAGAAAAGGATCCTTTTCCTGCTAACAGTGACTGTGAGTCTCAAGAATGATAATGAAGTAAGTTACTCCTTAAAAGGGCCATCTCGTGTTCTCTAAGGGAAAAAATGCATTTAAAAGTTGGACTGAACAAATTTCAGTACCAGTATGTCTTCCTTCCACCACCCCCTCCCCAAATCATGAAGTCTGACATGTGTACATGGGGGTTTCAGCTAGTCTTGATCTAAAATTGAATTGTTCTCTTTGTGAAGAGATTATCATGAAGAGTTACATTAATTTTTGCAATCTGTAAAGCCATTTCCTGCTGTGGCACCTAAGTCTCAGATAACTAACTGCCTCCAAGACAGATGTAAACATTAAAAATTAAAGATCCTTTAATTTGAAAGACATTAAGGTGAAGAACAATTATTCTTTGACTACCTGAGCATAGCACACAGACCCATTTCTGGAAAGCCCACTCCACATGGGGCAGGGATCCATCAGAGCAGAGAGGAAGGGAGAGGCCCCCGCCCATTCAGTGTCCTCATCTGTGGAGGTGAGGCAGGGCCGGATGCTCACTGTGGTCTAAGAGGCCAGGACTCAAATATGCAGATTCTCTTCTTGACCTCAGAGCTGCCTTGGAGCAGGGGGTTGTGAGGACATACCTTGCCGGTTTTCCCAGCTGCCATACTGTTCTGCATTTTCATGGCTTCAATCACAC